CTGAGCATTTCTCTATTACCTGATTGATAGTATGAATGTGGTCGATTTTGAGTAGCCTGTTCGAAATCCTGATTTTTTCTTTAGTTTATTGAATTCTAATTTTTTTCTTACCTCTGTTAGCAATTACCTTTTTAAATAGCTTTCATACTACAGAGAGCAAGCTTATCGGCCTGTAATTCTTTAAGTCCTTGTCATCTCCTTTTTTATGTAATAAGATGATGTTAGCATTCTTCCAAGACTCTGGTACTCTTCCCGTCATGAGACACCTTGTAAACAGGGTGGCTACTTTTTCTAACACAATCTGTCCTGCATCTTTGAGCAGATCTGCTGTTACCTGATCCTCACCAGCAGCTTTGCCTCTTTGCATGATCTCCAAGGCGTTTGTGACTTGTTCTATTATTACTGGTGGGGTACTATCTGGGTTACTCGATCTAACAGTATTAAGGTCCTGGTTGTCCCGGCTACTGTACAGATCTCTGTAAAACTCCTCCGCTATTTTAACTATCCTTTTGGTAGTTATTTTGCCTTCTTTGTCACTTAGCACATATATGCGATTTTTCACTATCCCAAGTTTCCTCTTCACTGCTTTGACACTTCCTTCGTTTTTCAGAGTGTGTTATACTGTCTCCATGTTATAACTTCCTACATCTGATACCCTACCCTTAATAATCAACTTCGAAAGCTTCGGCAGTTCTATTTTGTCTGTTGTACTTGAGACTTGCATGCTTTGAAGCTTCTTAATGAGATTTTTTGTTTCCTTGGAGAGCTTGCCAGTTTCCCGTCTAACTATCCTGCCTCCAACTTCCACTGCACACTCCGCAACGATATTCGTCAGACTATCACTAATTGTATCTACGCTAAGGTTGGTTTCCTCAATAAAAGCCGGCTACTTGTTCTCAAGCGAGACTCTGAATTCCTGTACTTTCCCTCTCAGTGATAGTTCAATGATTGGCTTCTTGCGTGTCAGTTTCTGTCATTCCTTCTTCAACTCTAAACGAATTTGAAACCTTATAATTCTATGATCACTGCATCGTACACTGCCAACCACTCCCACATCCTGCACAATGCCTGCGTGTGCACTCATTATGCAGTTTATTTCATTCTTAATTTCGCCATTAGCGCTCCTCCATGTCCACTTACGGTTTCCTCATTTTCGGTAGAATGTATTCAAAATCCCTAAATAATTGCGTTCTGGAAATTCTACTAGTAGCTCTCCTCTGGCATTTCTAGTACCGATGCCATTATCACCTACTGCCTGGTCTCCAGCCTGCCTTTTCTCTATTTTTGCATCAAAGTCTCCTATCAGTATAGTATACTGTGATTGTCCCTTACTCATTGCCGATTGCACGTCTTCGTAGAAGCTTTCAACTGAAGCGTGATCATGGCTGGATGTAAGCGCGTAACCCTGTATCACCTTCATCTGGTATCTCTCATTAAGTTTAATTACAATACCTACCACCCTTTCTATAATGCAATAGTATTCCTCTAGGTTGCCAGCTATGTTTCTGTGAATTAGGAACCCCACTCCCAGTTCTCTTTTGTCAGCCAAGCCCTGATAGCAAAAAACGTGCCCATTTTGTAGCACCGTATAGGCCTCATTTGTCCTCCTAACCTCACTGAGCCCTAATATATCCCATTTAACACCCTCTAACTCCTCGAATAGTACAGCCAGACTTGCCTCACTAGATAAGGTTCTAGTGAGGCAAGCAAGTGGTTCTTGGCATTAAACGTTGCCAAGTTCAGGTTTGAATGGCGGCATGTGCGGATCCAAATATTCGTAGCATCCTCTGCTGCGTTGCAGATCTGACCGCCGCCGTGGTCATTCGCTTCGCCGCTGCTGGGGACTGAGGGCCGTGAGTTAATGGACATATGCATGTGGGAGGTATTGCCCAGAGACTGCACCAGAGTGGCCAATCCTTCTCTGGTGAGAACCCCCCCCCCCCCCCCCCGTTAGCTCGGGTCCGTGGTGTCACTACAAACAAAACGCCTGCTCGCGCAGATGCTTTTGCATCTTCGAAGTTGTCTATAGTTAGGCAGAAGTACTGCCTAACAAAGGACGCTCCGTCAGCGTAAGACGCCGCTTACGCAGACGCCCCTGCATAAGCAGGTGGTCTGCGTAAGCGGCCTCTTACTCAGATGGAGCGTGTTTAGTTAGGCAGTACTTCTGCTTAACTATAGAGAACTTCGAAGACCAGCGCAAGTTTTGTACCCGCTTGAGCTCAATGCCTAAGCATCTACCATGAGACAAAGACGACCAGGAATGAGAGTGTGCTCTTTGCTGGGGAAAATATTAAGAATTTCGAAGGGTTCATCCTGCCTTCCCGACGTACAGATGCCGTTGAAGACGTTTACCTTCGCCGCTCAATTTTACGGGTCAAGAGATGGGCCGCCAAAACAAATCCAATGGGAGTGAAAGGGGTTGTCTTCGTACCATGGTAGCTTTCGTATGACCGGCTCCAATCTTTCCTCCTTCCTATTCAACCACTGGTCATTTGGGGTAACTAACTGGATTCCTAGAGAAGGCAAGCGGGTTAGGGGGAGACATAAAGTTAAGTGGGCAGATGAGATTAAGAAGTCTGTGGGTGTAAAATGGCAGCAGCAAGCACGTAAGCACGAAACAGAATGAGCTGGCGGAACATAGCAGAGCCCTTTGTCCTGCAGTGGACATGCTGGAGATGATGATGATTATGTGGATTGTACCTGCCTCTTTTCTTTCGAACTTTATAGTCACCTTCACAAAAACGAGTCTCTAGACTTACCGATGAGTCGAGTCGCTTCTTTTAAAGGCTCATTTGCGTGTGGCCCAGCCGCACCAATATAGTTACCGCACTGCAAGGAATTCGCTTTCCAATTAGACTCAGCCGACAAGATTAGCGAACCAGTAGTCATTTACAGCACGCATGTCATAATTGTCAAGTGTTCACCAGACATATACTTTTGTCGTTCATTGACGTCACGAAACACCAAATTTGGTATTATGCAAAGATATAGAAACGGCCGCGAGCGTATTGTGAGCATAGCAGGTAGTCATGTTGTTACATCACACGCGTCGCATTATGTTCTCACCAGTCATGTACATTCGTTATATATTATTGTAACGTGATACCAAATTTCTTTAATGTGGTGCTAGCGAAATGTCCACGTGTGCGCTATATGTAAGCGTAGTCTTTAGTCACGTTTTACATGACACGCATATCATTATTATCCTGTTTGTGCATGCCATCTACCTAAGCCGCTCATTCACTTCACGTAATACAAAATTTCGTGTATGTGAAGCCAGCTAAACGGCCATGAGCATGCTTCAGTGTAGCATGTAGTCGTGTTTTGCATAACAGACATGTCATGATGATTATGATTAGACGTGTCATTCACATTCGTCGTCTATTCACGTGACGTAGTACCGTAATTGGCATATTTGAAGCTAGCGTAACAGCTGCGAGCGCTCTTTGATTGTAGATTGTAGTCATGCCTTACATGACGTGCATGTCATGATTACATGCTTAGACGTTGTTCATTTACATCATGCAATACAAAATTTGGCATATGTGAAGCTAGGAAAACGGCCACGAGCGCATCATGAGCGTGGTATGTTGCACTGTTCTTACATGACACGCATGGCATGAACAACATGTTCGCACCAATGGCATACTTTCGTCATCCATTACCTTCACGTAACACTAAGATTGCTATATCATCATTATAATATATTTACCCTTGAAGGCCCCTGATGGGGTATTGCATAAGGAGGGAGTACACACAGGAGAAAAAGGAACGTTCAAAAAGTCATTGATGAAGCAAAAGAGAAATAAAATTTACAAAGAAATAATAAACATTTACGTCAATGATAATACACTCAAGAAGAAAACACAAATACACAAAAATCTCTATCTGTTATGAATCAGCAATCAATAAACTTTTTAGTACGTATTGAAATTCGATGGGGTTACGTACAGGCACAACACGATCAGGTAAACAATTCTGTTCTGCAATGGTTATTGGCATGTGAAGCTAGTGAAAGCTGGGATATGGGAACGTAGCGAAACGACCGCAAGAGCACTATGAGCGTAGCACGCATTCATGTTTTACATGACACGCATGGCATGAGTGTTGCATTTGGGCGTGTTATTTACCTTGGTCGTCCGTTTGCGCGTCATGTAGCACCAAATTTGCTATATGTGAAAATGGCGAAACAGCCACGAGGTCATCATGAGCGTGGCATGTTGTCATTTTCTTTCATGACGTGCATCTCTTGATTATCATGTTCTAGCCAATCATATACAATCCCCATCCATTCACGTCACGCGATCGCAAATTTTGTATATGTCAAGCTACCGTTCACCGTGCTGCCGCTGATTTGATGGGCTCTGAGCCATTGACTCACCGCTGCCGAAGGTGGGAACACCAGTGCGCCGCCGCTGCTGGTTATGGTACCGGCGCACAGGTATGCTTGGTGATTTGTGCGCAGGCGCGCTTGTGACGTATGCTATGTATATTTCTCCCATGTTTTTCATAATAAGATCACTCGGTAGGAAGAGAACGCCTAATCCGTCTTGTTTCTTGTGTTCCGTTTTTTTTTTTTTGCGTTTTGCTATCACTTCCAGTGGGTGCAAACATACAGCAGCACCTGACCAAGCCTTTCACGCATGGTAGCTTCTACTGATGGAGACATTGACATGCGCACTACAGTAATTCTAAGGCCCAGAGGTATTGGAGGTAAGGTGTTGAAAGTTCCTGGCTGCAACCAACCACGCCAAGAAAGCCGTGGCAAAGTGTTGAGAAGGAAGCCCCACATTTTCAACCTAACGCAGCCCGAAAGCACAGGTGAAAGGCCCGTGCTTTGCTGCGCACGACTTAGGTTCCTGACTTTCGGCATTGTAGTCGTGGTCAGGAATTGAACATTTAAGGATTCTTGCTGAATAACGCAGTGTGCATGGACTCTAAGTGCAATGTAAATGCAGCGCAAATGCACTGTAAATGCAGTGGTGTTATTTTTCTTACAGGATCGTTCAGACAAGTGGAGCTACACCATCCTGCAGTACAAGTCCGACAAGGCCCAGCGGCTCCCAATCGTGGACATTGCTCCCAGAGACATAGGCCTCAAGAACCAGGAGTTTGGTGTAGAAGTTGGACCAGCCTGCTTCTATTGAGAACAGCAGATCGGTGTCCGGTCGTTAAGCACAGTTGGAAACAAAGGACAAGCGTTGCAATGCTTTCTGTTTGTATATCACTGTACTGTGCCTCTGTTACAACATGTAAATAAATTATTTTCCTGTGACAGTATTCTTACAGCTCGTTTTAATGCCGGCCGACTTTCATGCGAGCAAAAAATACACAAATTTGCCGCAAAGGCGAAGCATTGAACGCGTAGCAACAAATTGAAAAGTCACGCGAAAAATGACAAGCAGGTCAAAACATGCCCCGCGTTTTTCACGCACAAATGACGCACAAAACGTACGTACTCACAGGTACAGATGAACTGAATAAGCGTCTCAGTTGTTACTTCTCTGTGTCTGAAAAGTGGGTCCTTTTTGCAAACAGAGGTGTTGCAACGATTGCAGTGGCCTTTGTGCGCCCCGTAACTACAGCAGAATCGTTCCTGTGCAAGCCTAACGCCAGCCAAGACTTATGATTTTACCATCGAGGAGATAAGCAAGCACGAGAGATTGTTGGCTCTCCTCCTCTCCGCAGGCCATAGTACGCGTGAGAGATGAGAGCCGCCACGCGTTCATTGTGTCATCTTGCTGGTAAAGCTAAAAACACGACAGTTACCCCCTCCCCCTCAAAAAGCCCGCCAACAGCGGTCAGTGGTAGATATGAATAGCTTGCCGTTTGAAAATTAAAGAAGGCTCCCTTCGGTTGATCAGTGGTTAACGCCTCTAATCATGATGAGGAGGTCCAACGCTTGATTTCGCGCGCAGGTGTCTTTTTTTCTGGATTGTCTTCTTTCTTGCGCTTTCATATATGCAGCTATGTATACATATACGCTGCATGACACCGACGCTGAAGGCGAAATCCAGCTGAGAGTGTCCCCCGCAGGGGCGTCTGCGTAAGTAGGCGTTTAGTTTGTAGCGACACCACGCACCCAAGCTAACGGGGGGTTTTCGACTCCCTCCCACGCCTAGCAGTGCGCGGCTTTGCTGTGTCCGAAGAAAAGGAAATCCTAGGGGTTGAGCCTACGCCAGGTGATTGGACTTTCAACCCCCCCCCCCCCGGCAGAGGTGACACACCCCTTTAGTTCAGGCTTCACGTACACGGCACCCCTAGGCTGACCCATCCAGGGGTAATCGGCAGTCCCCTTTTCCTCTCTCCCTCTTTCCCTACTACTTCGTTTTTCTTACTTTTTTATCTTTCCTGTCTACTTCTCCCTTCTGTTTACATCCAATTTTCTCGGCGGCAAGGGTTAACCCCGTGCAAATAGCCTACCTTGGCCTTGGCGCTTTGGATTCTAGAAGTGTTGTATGGCTGACGTCTGCAAGCTTTCGGCAGCCGTAAACTTGCAGCGTTCCCTCATTGGGCTTCGTGGTGGGTGGCCGCAAACGCTGCTGAAGAACATACAATTAGCATGCATAAAGCATTTCCTTTACTTAGTGATCGTGCCTCTTTAAAGCGGGTACGCACCGAAGACATCAATTTTTTCAACTGGCCAAAACAAATCTTTCTTCACTTTCATGTAATACACTGCGAGAAAACTAACAAACGAGCCAGAACTGTATCCCTTTCGTAGTGGCTAGATGCTTAACCTCAGTGCCAGCTACAAGGTTACTAAAATAGGAAGCGGAGATCTACTTTTTGAGATAAAAGAGAAAGACCAATTAGACAAGCTGAACTCTCTTACAACTTTTGCTGACACACCAATTAGTATTACCCCACACAGGTCTATGAATTTGGCTAGCGGAGTAGTATCAGACGTAGATTTACTTGACCTGACGGAGGCTGAATTTCCCGAAAGATAGAAGAGCCAGAACGTGACCGACGTACAACGTATTGAGACAAGAAGAGAAAAAAGAAAACACCAACCAAACACCTAATACTGACTTTTGGTTTGAGCGATCTGCCTGAAACCATTTAAACGGTTTATACAAAGACTTCCGTGAGGTCACACATTCCTAACCCCCGCCGTTGCTTCGAATGTCAGAGATATGAGCACGGCTCGCAAAGCAGTCGTGGCCGGAAAACTTGTGCTCTGGGTGGAGCCGTGGGCCTCGCGTCCGACAACTGCGAAGCATCGGCACACTGTTTGAACTGTGGTGGGAATCATGCCAATAAAGATTAAAGAAAACATTACATTTGAAGAATCACGAAGAAGAGTCTCGACATTTTTAGCCCCACATATGCCGATGCAGCGCGTCAGAGGGCAGCGTCGCACCAGCCCTCGCCACTTCTTCGACCTGCGTAGAGCGAGCCATCGGCTATGGCGTCACCTGTCAAGCGGCAGTAGTTGAGTCTAGTCCGCCTACTATTTAACAGAGACCAGTGACTCCAGGGTCCTCAGGTCTAAACGCCTCACCTCACCAGGCGAGGCCCGAGCTTCGAACAACCAGCTCGCATGTGCGGGAATCCAGTGCCTCTGAGGAAGCAATGGATACGGCGGCACCTCTGGTGCCGAATAGGTGGCGCGGCTCTCTGAAGCACGCTAAGAGAACTAAAAAGCTCATAACGGGGCCTGACAACAGCCCTGTTACTTGAATTCATACTCCCTAACTACACAGCCACTCGCTTTTTGTACACACAGCACTACTTTACTTTCACCATGAACACTCAAATTATACAATGCATAGTCAGGGGCCTTCTCAGAAACCTTGATGACGTCCAAGAACTTTAAACGATCACTCACCAAAAGTGCTGTGTGTGCGAGAAACGCACCTAAATTCATACACACCAACTTTCTCCGTAAATACGTTATTTTCCGAAAGGACTGTGTAATGCCATGACTTCATCCGAAGGTGTTGCAATTATCGTGATACAAGGGATTGCATGCACACACTTACAACTCCAAACATCCCTTCAGGCAGTGGCCATTCGAGCTGTGCTTTCGACAAACTGTTCAAATTTGTACTCTTTGCATACCTCCTAGCTATCACCTGCAAAAACACGACTTCCAGTCCTTAATCTAAGAACTTCCGGAGCCTTTTGTTCTTCTTGGAGACTTTAATGCGCATAGCAGGCTATGGGGCGACTCTCATTGGGACGCCTGAGGTCGAATAATTGAACAGTTTCTTCTTTCTTCCAGCGCCTGTCTGCTGAATCAAAAAGAAGCAACCTATTATAACCTCGCTAACAATACCTATTCCTCTATAGACATAAGCATAATATCTCCATCGTTTGTGCCTCTACTTCATCAGTAATCCCTACGGAAATGATCATTTTCCCGTAGTTTTCAGCACTCCTACATCAGCTGAATGCCCGCCACAGGTTCACAAACGGCTATTAAGCAAAGCCGACTGGGAACAGTTTTACACCTTCACTCATTTACGTTGGCGTGACCTATGCACTTTAAGCATTGATGATGCTGTCAACTACTTCACAGCTGTTTTAATTCATGCAGCAACAAAATGCGCCACACAAGCAAATGGACACGCTGGAAAACGACGTGTGCCGTGGTGGAACTCATAGGGCCAAAATGTGCGCGAGCAGGAAAACAAAGCTTGTAGGTTGCTTCGGAACTCACCGACAGCCAAAAATCCTTACATCTTCAAGAAAATGAAGTCTCAGGTCAGGAGAACGCATCGGCAGGCCAGAAGAAAAAGCTGCCAGAATTTTTTATCAGGGACCAATTCATATACACAGGAGGCAAAAGTCTAGAACAAGGTTGGTAGAGTAGCAGGAAGACAAGCACACACACTGCCACTTGTTAACACACAGGGTGACACCTTGAAAGATCAGGCGAACTTCCTCGCTGCACATTGTGAGCGCATGTTCAGCTCCTCACATTATACTGACGCATTTCAAAAATACAGAACAAAAATAGAAAAGCAAAAACTCGAACAAAAATGTACGAGATTCGAGTCGTACAACCAAGCTTTCAGCTTAGCTGAGTTCCAAACTCCTCCAGTGATTCCGCTTCAGGTTCTGAGCGGGTGGTTTACTAATTGTTAAAGAAGCTACCATTCGAAACGCAAAAAACCTAACTTTGTTTGTACAATGCTATCTGGTTCTCTGGCGCTATTCTTACTTCCTGGAAAGAGGCTATTGTTTGTCCCATTTTCAAACAGGGCAAGGACCCTTCATTAGTTTCGAGTTATAGGCCTATTGCGCTTACAAGCTGCTTATGCAACCTTCTCGAAAAATGATAAACTGCCGACTTATAAATTTCCTTGAAACGAACAATTTGCTCGATCCTTTTTTGTGCGGATTTCGAGAGAGTAGATATACCACCCACCACTTTGTTCGTATCAAGGCACAGATCACGAACGGTTTCGTTCATAAGCAAAGCTTTCAATCTGTGGTCCTCGATATCGAAAGGGCATATGATACAACGTGGTGCTTTAGAATACTGAGAGACCTGTACCACCTTGGCGTGCGTAGCAGAATACGCACTATAATAGAAAGTTACCTGTCAAACCAGACATTTCGAGTTCGAGTAGGCAGCGTTCTTTCCCAAAAATTTGTCCAAGAAACAGGCATGCCGCAAAGTGGTGTACTTAGTTGCACGCTTTTTCTCATCAAAATGAATTCTTTGCGCTTGTTCATCCCTCGCAATATGTTTTATTGTACATATGTCGATGACGTCCAGCTTGGCTTTATCTTGCAATCTGCAATATAGCCATGTGTGAGGGCCAGGTTCAGCTTGGTTTGCTCAAAGTCCCCAATTGGGCTGAAGAAAACTGGTTCTGTCTGAATGCACAAAAAAGCACGTGTGTCTTGTTCTCCATTAGGAGAGGCGTTCATCTCGAACCCTTTATTCAACTGCATAGTCAACGTCTTTCTTTTAATACCGAACAAATATTCTTAGGCCTACTTTTGAACACCGATGTAACCTTCATATCACACATCAAATATTTCAAAAAGCAAGTGCATAAAAGCTATGAACGTTCTAAAAGTGTTGTCTCGCACTACGTTGGGCAGCGACAAAATGTGTTTAAAGAATTTATATAAAAGCCTCGTAAGTACCCGCCTAGACTATGTGGCCATAGCATATCAGTCTGCGACACCTACTGCCCTTTGAATGCTTTACCCTGATCAATATCTAGTCATTCATCTCTCCACGGGTGCTTTTCGCACTAGCCCCGTGGAAAGCCTGTACGTGGAATCAAACGATTGGTCGCTCCACCCAAAGAGAT